CCCAAAATTGCCCTTATATGTTATTACCCCTTAATTTTTTGTTAATTTGAATCAGCGAATCGAGGACCGGGGAGGATTCCTTTGGATTGGACAACGAGGATTAGTTTGGTGCTGGGAGCTGCTCGTGGGCTTGCACGGATTCACGAGGAATACAGTGGATCAAAGATTCCACACGGGAATGTGAAGTCGTCGAACGTACTTCTTAACAAGAATGGTGTGGCATGCATCTCCGAATTTGGGTTGGCCCTGCTTTTGAGCCCAGTTCATGCCACGACGAGATTGGGAGGGTACAGAGCGCCAGAGCAAATCGAAACCAAGAAGCTGTCACAGAAGGCAGACATCTATAGCTTTGAGGTTCTACTTCTGGAGGTGTTGATAGGGAGGCTCCGCTACAGTATCTTGCCTCAAGTCCGTATGGTGAATAGGGTGTTGATCTTCCTAAGTGGGTAAGATCGGTGGTGAGGGAGGAGTGGACGGAGCTTCTGAGGTACAAGAACATGGAAGAAGAGATGGTGGCGATGTTAAATGTGGGGTTGACTTGTGTGGTGGAGCAGGGGGAGAAGAGGCCTACGATGTCAGAGGTGGCGTAGATGGTCGAGGAGATACGGGTGGAGCAATCCCCACCAGGCGAGAATTGCTTTTTGTAAAAACAAACTTGCAGGTGGTTTGGGATTCAAGCATCCAAAGTTTTTTAATATAGGAAATGGGGAAGAAGAAAAGGGAGGAGAGAAAGGGGAAGGGGAAGAAGAGAGAGAGGGAGATAGGGAGGACTTTGGAAGTCCACGGCCGTTACAACGGTTACTGCCACTGCTGTTTGTGTATCATTAGGTTGGGTGTTTTTCTCCGAATAGTTGTTACAAGGGTAGTATGGGGATGAAAACATATTATAACACAAAAGGTTAACGGAAGAGGGAATTTGTCTCACGGTCATAATACGGGAGGTTTTTGTCGCAAAACAAAGTATAGGGGGTCTTTGTCACAGAAGTACCGGGGGGGTCTTTGTAATTTACCCTAAAAAAAGGTTTGGAAATGGTCATACTCCTCTCGAGTTCACATCTCCACTCCACAACGCCCCACAACATATCCCTAGTGTGTATTGTATCGGATATGGGAAACGCATGGATACGAACAAAGATATAGAAATTCTTGGATACACTAGTGAAATGCATACAAATCACATAAAAACATTAATCATACTAAACCAAAAGCTGAATTATCTATGAATAAGATATAAACACATGAAAAATACATATTTCAATAGGTTTCTATGAAGAAAAATATTACAATAAACAATACCGGGACTCTATAACATCCAAACATTGTACAATAATTATCGCTCTTTCAATTTTATAATTATAATTATAATTTTAATTAATTTTTGGGAATATTTATTAATTTAGTATTTTATTTAAATAACAACTATTTTTTAAATAATAAATATGTTTTCATTTTTAACATATAATGTTTTTATTTTACACATAATTGTAAAATAAAACAAATAAATCATTTAAGGTAGATAAAATAAAGGGATTTTTGGACTACACTCCACCTCAGAATTTTGATTTGAACTGTAGACCTACAACAATTCAAAATTTAAAACAAGTCCACCTATAACACACCCATACCCGCCCTTGAATTGCATTAATTCCGAGCTGACACCTACCCCAACTATACGGAGGAGCTAAGATTTCTAAGGGTTGACTGAATAGTAAAAACCCCTAAAATAAATTATATTTAATTTTTAGTTTCTATGATTTTTTTGGGAAAACTAAATCTTAAATTATTCGTTTCAGATTTTATAATTATAATTTTCCGTTTTCCATTAATTTTGTTGAGAAAATTTATTTATTTAGTATTTTATATAATGACTATTTTTTTCAAATAATAACTATGTTTTCATTTTTAACATATAATTATGTGTAAAATAAAATATATAAATAATCTAAGGTAGATGAAATATATTATTTTTAGTTTTTATTATTTTTTTGGAAAAGTTAAATCTCAAATTATTTATTTTAGTTTTCATAAAACTATTTTTGAACTTGTATTAAAGATGGAAAACAATAAAAAAATACTTAATTTACAATTTTGTCAAACTAGAATATGGATACACCTCCATATTGGTGCGTATCGGACCGTATCCATCGATACAGTGTGATACGGCTTGATACAGAGGTATATCAGACCGATACACAACTCGTAGGATATGTATCCAGTCATAACGTATCCTACAACCATGATCGTGGATACGGATAGGATACACCCCATACTGGGAGTATCATATTGATACCTTAATCCTTGATCTCACACCGACCTCACATGCACATCTTAATATGTATTAGAAACATCTCCCATAAATAATAACGTGTATATATGAAAATATGTTTTAATTGAAAGGATGAGATCCATCATATGGATAGCCGAACCCTTTAGGTAGGTAGGGCGAAATTTCAAAAATTTCTCTCTCCCATATGGGAATCACATTCCCTGTTTTAGAAAATTTGCATTTTCAATGATCAATCTTGAACCAAGAACCAGACCAGATCTGAAACCAAAAGGTAGGAGAGGGAGGTACCTGATACGAAGAAACAATATCTCCCAATGAAGGTGTTCACACCTAAGAAAAACTCCAAAGACTGCTCCCACTGAAGATGACACAGCGTAGGGTGGAGTAGAATCATCATGTTCTTTACAAGAACTGAGTCCTTCAGCAAGAATTCGACGGACGGAATGTGTGCACGATTTCATATAAGTTTTTTTTTTTTCCAAAAATTGATATCAAGAACACTTCTTGATCGCTTCTACAGTGGAGATCGAATTGGCAATGGTGACAGTAGGAGGGCGCAAGAGCAGAAGATGGCGCAATCTTACTGTAGTTGTCTTCTCTCTTTCTGTGATTTGAGATCTATTGTGATGAGATGAATGGAGGTTTGCCCTCCTCCTCCTTTTATAGCCTTAAAGAGAGCTCCTAATCTCATTAAGAGTTTCCTAATCCAAATCTGTATTTGGATCAGGACTTTTCTTTAAGAGATAAGGATAAGCTCTTATCTTATCTACATATTAGATCAGCCCTCCTAATCTTATTAGGAGTTTCCAAATCCAAATCTATATTTGGATCTGGACTCTCTGAGTGGATAGGGATAACTCCCTATCCTATCTGCTGATCCAAATCCCAGATCCGCCTCCTTCTTTAACTAATCAAATTTGACCAGTTCGAATTGGGTTTTACGCCCATTAAGTCCATGTGCTCACTAACCTTCCAAACTGCTGCCCAGTTGCGTTTCCTTGTATAGCGTGAGACCCAAACATTGATCTACACATCAACCACATGGGTTCAGCCTAGCCTCTATTACAAGGCCTGGCCGAATTCACTGTTATGGGCAATGAACCCCTGAGCCCATCACCATGGGCTCTTAACGGGCCCAACACTTACACTAAGTGATCCCTGGGCCAAGCCACCTTATAAAAACCCAGGGACTGTGGGCAGATGCAAGATTAGCCCATCAGATATTACACTTAATGATCTTACACTTAACCTTTCAACCCATAATGATCAAACACTGCCCGACAAGAGAGAACCTCTCCCTCGGCTGCAAGGAACAGTGCTGCACTCTCTATTCACATGGATCCTGGGAATATATATATATATATATATATATATATATATATTACAAAAAACAAACTTCAACGATTGAAATCGGCTGTCAGCAACTTTGGTTTCTATCAGAGAGAGTGCATCCCCGATCATTACCTTTGTCCGACAAAGGGGCTGATCTTGTCACTATGATCACCACTCAGATGAATTTTCGGACTGTCCCAACATACCTAGGTTTTGACCCCCTCTAAGGATCTCACTGATTGGCATATTAAAGATAGCCCAATCTGACACGTAGTGCAGTATCATAATCGAGTCTAGGGGTTAGGTGTAACATTCTAGTTTTGCACACTAATCACTAAGGTCTAGGGCAATACTGGAATTCTGGTCCGGTTCAAGGTTTTAAGTAAATCTATACTGCATGTACCTCGGGTCTCACCTTGGCAGCTGAGACAGCTACTCCAACCAACTTGGTGGCACATCAGTGTCAATCTTATCAGGATAAATCTCCCAAAATCTATCCAACGGCTGTGAATATTCTAAACTAACACGAGTCTCATATATGTCCAGTTTAAGGATATTACACAAAAACACACTATAATAACATGAATTAAATATGTAATTTATTTATTTATATTAAATGTCATAAGATACATCATTTCGATTGGAGTTAAAGGTATACACTGTCTAACATTAATAATTAATAATTCAAAATTGAGGTTCAGATATGCTATTCACCACTTGTTCCCATATATATTTTATAACAGTTGCGCATTGAGAATATCTCCATTGAAATGTTACACGGTGGCGGTGCATGGTGGGTATAGAAGTGGATAGCAGATGGGGAGTGCAAATATCCTCCCTGTTTTCGACTATTTTTATATTGGGATTTCTAGTTCCACCATACAGTTGGGGATGGGTGCGGGTTCGGAATTGATGCCAAATTCACAGGCGGTTACGGGTGTTATTGACGGAGGTATTTATATATTTAATTAGATCCCTTTGAATGGAAGAAACGAACAACTTACCAACCCACCGTCATGTGTGAAAGATTGGTCTTTGTGGCTTAAGAATAAAATTAGAATTTGACAAGTAAAGAGTTGGTGAATCATTGAAAAGAATCTGAGGGTTGGTGGTGGTGGGGTTTATTAGTATTCATCTTTTGGATTTAGTCAATCCACTTGATCATCCCTGACTTTTTAATTAATGATGATGATCATGGATGATCTCTTTTATTCCGATACCTCGACGGATGAGGTATCCTCGTCAACAGCTGCAGATCAAGATCTCTTTGTATTTAGTTTATCGTGGAAGAATATTGGAATCATAGTCATTTTACACCCCAGAAGAATCACAACTTTGCAGATCTTCTCTACTCCCACCTCTCGGAAGAAGAAGAAGAAGAATGGCGGAGGCAGTTATCATCGGTGATATTGCTCAGGAAATCTTGAGCAGGGTGATTTCCCTTGCTGTCCAAGGGATTAATCTCACAAGAAATTTCAAGACACAGCTTGAAGATCTGATAAGCAAATTGGAAATGATTCAATACGTCATGGAGGACGCCCAGAATCACGAAGGAGAGAAGGATGTATCGGTTAGAGAGTGGTTGAAGAAGCTCAAGAATGTGGCCTATTATGCGGAGAATGTGTTGGATGAGTTCGCAACAGAAGCTCAGCTACGCAAAATGAGGAAGAAGAAGAGAAACAAGGTATGCAAGTTCTTTTCGTCCTCCAATCCGATTGTAGTTAACTGTAAGATGGCCCATAGGATTAAAAGCATCAATGCATCCTTCGACAATCTTCAAAAGCAAGCCAATATGATCCAACTTGTACACACACCTAACACCAAGGTCAGGGGGGCTGTAGAAAGTAGTCAAATAATGCACCGAATCACCCATTCTAAAGTAAATGAGTTTGAAGTCGTGGGAAAAGGAGCTGAAAAAAGGAAGATAGTAAACATTTTAATTAACGATCAGAACCAGAGCCAGAACCAGAAAGCTGCTATTTCAGTGCTACCCATAGTAGGAATGGGTGGTCTCGGAAAGACCACCCTCGCTCAATTGGCCTTCAATGATAAATCGATAGAGGCACATTTTGATAAACGGATGTGGGTTTGTGTGACTGAAAACTTCAGTATTCACAAGATTTTAAAAGAAATCCTGGAGAGCCTTGGAGGAAGGGACGCCTTAACAAATCTGGACGTGATGCTCCGTTGCCTTGAAGAGCAGTTGGGTGGGAAGAAATTCTTACTCGTACTTGACGACTGCTTCTTCTAGGGTTTGCGAAAGGAACCTCTTGAACTCGGGATCGAGGTCACGTTCCAAAGCTTCATTTTTGGGAGCAAAAAGGTGATGTTATACTTCCCGACTGCTTCTTCTAGGGTTTGCGAAAGGAGAGCTTTCTCGACCAGTTCGAAGAGTTCAGTGTAATGTGAGTCGAGGAGGGCCACTAGGCCGGAATGAGAGTTGATTTGGCCGGAGTTAGATGGGGAAGACTACTTTACACCCAAATTTTCTGACAATGTAGTGCCACTTGCAGCAAAAAAGAGAAGGAACAACAAGTAGAACAACATAGACACACCATAGATCTCAGAATCCAGGCAATCAAAGAGGGGAACCAGTTTCAGAGAGGTGAAAATTTGACACAAAAACCAGAGAGGCTTGGATCCTCGGATGCTTGTTTTTCGACCTGCAAATGGTAATTTGGGTATTACGTAATATTAAATGAAACAGGTGAAATCACATGTAAACAAAGACTTAGATAATTGTCAGAAACAGTAGAGGTAGCCACAGTCAAGTTTCAAACAGTAAGGGTATATTTAATGAATTAACTGAACCATAAGAATAGTTTTAAAAAATTTACCTTTTTTTATTTGATTCGATGGAAGTTTCATTGCAAAAATATTCATCTTTTGATAATTCCAATTGCCAACACCTAATTTTTTAAAAGAAAAAAAAAATCATGTTTTTCATCATATATGCTGAGTTGTCCAAATCTAATGATCATGGATGACGATGATGACGAGTTTAGTTTAGTTTCCAACTGAGTGAGTGAGTGACCCGAGTATTGGGATGAGATAAGTGTGCATGGTTGAAGAGAGAAATTTTGTTTGTTGACGAAAGAAAGAAGAACAATGGCTGGAGAAATTATCATCAGTGTTGTTGCCAAAGAAATCCTGAGAAGAGTAATATCTCTCGCTGGGCCAGGGATTCATGTCACGAGGGCTTTCAAGAGAAAGCTTCAGAATCTGGAAAGCAACTTGCAAATGATTAAAGTTGAGCGATTGATATGAAGAATAAATTTGAAAAATTTATCTTAAAATCCTGTAGATCCATCTTAAAATCCTCTTATAAGAGATACAAAAATGTCTAAAATATCCATACAATTATTATTGAAGCCAGTCTTTATAGAAAAAAAGTACAAACTTTATGAACAACAAGAAAAATAAAAGAGATTAAAGTTGAGCGATTGATATGAAGAATAAATTTGAAAAATAAATCAATTTCGAAAATGTGATTAAGAAGTTTTGGGAATATAATTGATATGAAAAAAAATTAAAAAATAAATGCATGAAAATCTTAGATATTTTCATGTCTCTTATTACATGATTCTAGTTCATACTTGCAACTGTAATAGAAAGTTCAGGGAGGTTTTAATAATTTACCAAAATCTCATTTGCATAAGAAAAGTCTTCCGCCCATAGCCCAAATTCATCCTTCAAAAATTTTTGGACCACACATGACTATCGGGATATTTTTAGGCTATTTGGGGTCTGATATTTTTAGGGCAATGTCAAATCATCAACCAGACAACCACTTTTTTTTTTCAAACCCTTATCGGCAAGGCGTCTCTATTTCTAGCTTTTTCGCATATGATATATACTTTTTGCCAAAGAAAAAGAACCAAGAGAGTTGCATAAACTTGCTTACTATAGTCTTTAGGGTTTTCTCTTTGGTTCAGTTACTCTGACCAGGGATGAGATGATGAGATATCCATGTCCATGTCTGCATGTCTCTCTGTATATCGTTGATCCCTGAAGTAAAAGATTGGAACATAGTGTTTTTTCACACTCCATAAAAGAACTGCTCTTGTTCACGGAAGAAAGAAGAATGGCTGGGGAAGTTATCATCGGCGCTGTTGTTCAGGAAATCTTGAACAGGGTAATTTCCCTTGCTGCACAAGGGATTCATCTCACGAAGAAGTTAACAGCAGAGCTTGAAAACCTGGAAAGCACATTGAAAATGATTCAAGACGTGATAGAGGATGCCCGGAGTCGTGAAGTAAAGGAGCAGGGGGCCAGAGAGTGGTTGAAGAAACTCAAGGATGTAGCTTATGATGCGGAGGATGTACTGGATGAGTTTGCAACCGAAACTCAATTACGCAAAATGACGAAGAAGAAGAGAGAAAAGGTACGCAAGTTCTTTTCGTCCTCCAATCTAATTGTAGTTTACAGTAAGATGGCCCATAGAATTAAAAGCATCAATGCATCGTTTGACAAACTTCAAAAGCAAGCCAATATGATCCAACTTGCACGCACAGTAGCTAACACCAGGGGCAGGGGGGCTGCAGACAGTAGTCAAATAATGCACCGAGTCACCCATTCTAAAGTAAATGAGCTAGAAGTCGTGGGAAGAGACGCTGACAAAGAGAAGATAGTAAACATTTTAATTAACGACCAGAACGAGAAAGCTGCTATTTCAGTGCTACCCATAGTAAGAATGGGTGGTCTTGGAAAGACCACCCTCGCTCAATTGGCCTTCAATGATAAATCGGTCAAGGCACATTTTGATAAACGCATGTGGGTTTGTGTGACTGAAAACTTCAATATTCACAAGATTTTAAAAGAAATCCTGGAGAACCTTGGAGAAAGGGACGCCTTAACAAATCTAGATGTGATGATCCATTGCCTTGAAGAACAGTTGGGTGGGAAGAAATTCTTACTGGTGCTTGACGACGTGTGGAATGAAGAAAAGAGTAAGTGGGATATCTTAAAAGATTATTTGTTAACAATGCAAACGGCGAAGGGGAGCAAAATTATTGTGACTACGCGTAAAGATGGGGTTGGGAAAATAATGGGCACGCTTCCTATGCATCATTTAGAATTATTATCGGAAAAAGATTCCTGGTCCATATTCAAAAACAGAGCGTTTGCAGCAGGAGGAGCACCAGAGACACCAAGATTGGTTGAAATAGGAAAGGAAATAGTAAAGAAATGTGATGGCTTACCTTTAGCCGCAAAGGCTCTTGGAGGGTTGATGTACTCAAAGAAAGAAGAAGAGGAGTGGGTGTGTGTCCAAAACAGTGAAATCTGGGATTTACCTGAATCTGAATCATATGGAATCTTACCTGCTTTAAGGCTGAGCTATGATCATTTGCCACCACATTTAAAACAATGCTTCACATATTGTTCCCTGTATCCTAAGGGTCAAACGATGGACAAAGAACGGCTTATTCAAGAATGGATGGCACATGGATTCATCCAGCAGCAAGTTCAAGGGTCGACCTCTGTCTCTGGAGAAGAAATGGAGGATATCGGAAATGACTATTTCAATAACTTGTTGTGGAACTCTTTCTTTCAAGATGTAGAGATGAACAGGGTTGCTGGAGACATAGAAACGGTGAAGATGCATGATCTTGTGTATGATCTTGCACAACATGTTTCCAAGGCTGAATGCGTAATATCTACGGAGAAAGATGAGGATTTAGATAGAGTCCAAGGCCGCAGCACTCCTATTACTTGGGATCTTGATGTTCGACATATGTCAGTGCATCATCAAATGTTAAAAAGAATATTATTGGAGGCCGCCTCATCATCATCATCATCATCACCATCGCCAACATATGATCAGTTGCACAAATTGCGCACATGCCTTGTGTTTTTCATTGCTGGATATCTTGACGATGTTAATGACTTCCTTGAAGACTTTTGTCGCATTGAGACAGTATTTTTCAAGTGCAAGTGCTTACGTGTGTTAGATTTGTCAGGCATCTGGCTTAGGCCTCATTTCCCAGCGTCAATCAGCAATTTTAAATTACTAAGGTTCTTGGACCTTTCAGAGAGCGAAATTGAAACATTACCCGAGTCTATTACCAGTCTCTGTAATCTGCAGACACTAAGGCTCAAAAATTGCAGGAGGCTTAAAGAGCTTCCTAAAGAAATGAGAAAGCTTATTAACTTGAGGCATCTTGATTTATTAAATTGTATTAACTTGCAACAAATGCCAGTCGAGATGGGGAGATTACGCTGCCTTCAAACGTTAAGTAGGTTTGTAGTGGGTCAGGGAGCTGGACATGGCATTACAGAGTTACAACACCTAATAAACCTAAGAGGTTGCTTAACAATTGCCAATCTCGAGAATGTGAGCAGTGTAAGAGAAGGCAAGGAGGCGAATATAAAGGACAAGCAAAATATCCAAATATTGGATTTGGTATGGAGTAGCTGGTATATTAATTTGGATACCAACACCATCGATGATGATGATAATGATGATCATGATGTACTACTGGAAGGGCTGCAGCCGCACCCAAATTTGAAGGGGTTGAGAATTGCTAACTTTAAGGGCACTAAATTTCCTTTGTGGATTGTAGAGATCCATTCCTTCCTCCCCAATTTGGTCCAAATCTATCTAATAAGATGCAGGAGATTGGAAAATGTTCCCATGCTTGGCTATCTACCATTGCTTATAAGTCTTCACATAGAGGGAATGGATTTCAAGTGTATCCAGTTTTATGGAGTAGTCAACAACAGTAATTGTAGCAATGCAGTTGTAGGCCGTGGTGGTGGTGATCATGAAGCAACAACGGTAACATTGTTTCCATCGTTGGAACGCTTGTGGCTGAAAGACATGCCTAATTTAGTAGAGTGGAAGGAAGCTTCACCATCTTGCTCTTCTAATTCCATTTTCCCTTGCCTCGAGCATTTCATCATCCAGAATTGCCCTAAGTTGACAGTGACACCAAATTGTCTGCTCCCTTCTCTCAAGGGATTGGTGATTGAATCAAGCAATGCCTTATTGCTAAAACAAGGAGGATCCTTTGTAGCCAATCTCATGTCTCTTGTTTCCCTTGGTATAATCAAGTGTGATGAGCTTAAGGTTCTACCGGAATGGCTATTACAAAACAACAAAAATACCCTCCGCGAGTTGCAAATTACCCACTGTCCCAAGCTTGAACCTCTTCCCATGGAAAGACTACAAGTCCTCTTCACATCTCTCCAATGGTTGAACATAACCGATTGCCCGTTGATGCCAGATGTTTCATGCTTGGATGACTTTCAGAAATTATTAGGACCAGAAAGAAAATAATACAACAAATTGAACTAGTGTTTACAAGAGGGGATTCCGCCGGTTCTTCACATTAATTCATAACAACACTACTTGATTGTGGGATGCTCATTTTCTTGAGGAAAGAACCAGCAGGCAGAACAATCGTCAAGGATCGATAGCTCCTTCCATTTCAGATGCACCAAAGTGTTCATTAATTTGAGACATTCTTTGGTGATTTCCTGACATTATAACATCAATTCGTCATCATCAGATTAGATGCATTTAAGGCTTCTACGCTCCACGGAGATCCATCAGGTTAATTTGTCATATCCTCTCCTCAGCAATTTCATATGCATGTGGCTGGGTTTTGTTTGTTTGTATGTTTGTAAACGACTACCAAATGTCTTTCTTTCTGTGTCTTGTTAGTTTTAGTTTGGGTGTATAGTCAATCTACTCCTCTATGTGTTGTTGTGTTGTTTTCGTTTTGTTGTTGGTATGTTTCTGGTTTTAGTCTGTACGTTGTACTCTCTTTGCTTTGGGTGTTTTGTGTTGTCTTTTTCAGTATTGGTTTTAATGATTCATTTGCTTATAAAAACAAGGGATTATAGTTGATAAGGGCAACTTTTGGGCCCTAATTTAAAATTTTAAAAATAGGGCAAAAATACTGTTCATCTTCTTCCTCTTATAATCCATTCTGTAAACCTCTGTAAACTCCGGCAATGCCTCCGCCTACCTCCGCCCACCTCCATGTCCGCCTCCAGCAATGTTGCCGGTTCAACCAGCTTAGATGGTGTTAGTGTTAGAGTAGATGTCGATGCACACAGTGCTACCATTTGCAGGCTTAGATGAAATGTGCATCTTCGAGTCTGATATCACATCCCATCTCAAACTCGAGTCACTGCAGATGATCCCAAGCTTGGCTGCCTCTCCCAATTCATCAGCTTGTATATACAAGTTTGTGTCCTTGAGCGATAAAGTTTTCTCGGGTGTGTAGCTCCAAGCTTCAGATTCAGGAACCTAGCTTTAATGGCTCGATCAGAGATTTTCTCAGCACACAAAGGCCAGTTGATGGGCGGAATATTACTTTGTCTGGCCTCACCTCTGAAGAAAGACCTGAACCTGCATTAATTTTACAATATTCAAATTAAAAGGTTAAATGTAAACAAAACAGATCAAACATACATATACCTTGGAAGGGAGATTGGAGTGCAGAGATTTGTTGAATGAAGGTTGAATTACGGGTGTTGTTCTAGTCCCAACTCAGAACCCCATAAGTCTCATCCATCCCCACCACCCTCTGTCTCAGGTAGTAACTCCCAACCAGTGTCCACAGCGCCCAATCCCAATCGAATTGGGCTGCAACACCAAGAAAGCAATTAAAGAACCTATTGTCATTTATGTTGGTGCCTCTCTGATCCACACCAAACTCACTGATAAAAAGTGGTCAACCTCGGTCCAACAAAAATCCTCCTTTTCTCATCAAGTTATTCACAACAGTCGCACAAACTTGGTTTGGATTGCCCGTCTCACACGCCTTGCCGTCAGAGAATGCATACCAGTGAAGCTCGAACGCTAATTTCCCAGAAAATGTTAAGTTCAGTGGTCGCTTGGCCAGGTGGCGGCAGCAGAGGCAGAGGTGGGCGGAGGTGATAGCGTTGGGCGGCGGGCGGCGGCACTGATGAATGGATTGCAAGAGGAAGAATATGAACATTATTTTTTATCCTTAATTGATATTATTTTTAAAAAGTTAACATATTTTTGAAATTTTATTGAAAGTATTACTTTTATTGATATTAGGGCCCAAAAGTTGCCCTTATCAGCTATAATCCCTAAAAAAAAAGTGAGTGCCAAATATCAAATAAACGTCCTCGTGGACAAGGTGGGCATTATTGGTTGTGTGGTTGAGTGATGGGACAAAATATTATGAGCGAGAGTGTTGTGCCTCTTTTTCTTTCTTTCTTTTCTATTTTTTGGTTCTTGGAAAATTAGATTATGATTTGTTTCCAGATGTAGTGTTGATTTTCTTTGTTTTCAAATTCTATCAAAAGCAGTACTTGGGTTTTAACCAATCAACCCCTTGTTTCTAGAAATAAGTTAGACATGAAGTGATGAAAATGATTCTCAAAATGTATTCTAATATGGGAAGAGCTTTAACCAATCAATCAACCCCTTGTGAATTTTGATAAATGCCACTTGATTGGTTACAACTTTTATGATATCAGGTGATTGGTAATAAGGGTCTACTTACTTCGCAGATAGGACCAGAAATGAAATTGGAATCGAAATCCCTTGAAATCTAAATCAGAATCATCTATTCCTAATTCTTGTTTGGTTAATCAAGAATCAGATTCTGATTCCAATTGTTGTTGTTTGGTTCATTGGGACTTGGAATTGGAATCAACTAAAAATTTTCAATTTTGTATTAGTCTATTTACAATTTTATTATTATTTTATTAATATTTTATGAATATATAATTATTAATTTATAAGTACTTTATTATTATTATTTTATTAGTATTTAATAATTAGTGTCTTAGTATTTATCATTAATTTATTAAAATTTTATGAATATATTATTATTTTCTTATTTATTTAAATTTTATTAATAGTATTTTTATTACTACGTTTTCTTAAATAATTTATTATTTTGTTACATTTTATTATTATTCTCTTATTACTTTATTAATTTCTATTATTTTTGCTTATTATTTCAAAATTAATTTATCATTATTGAATAATTAATATGTTAGTATTTTATTATTACTTTAATTATATTATATTAATATTTTATTTTTACTTAATTATATTTATTTAATAAATAATAATTTTTTTATTATTTTATTAGTACTTAATAATGAATATATTAGTATTTATCATTAATTTATGAATATTTTATTAATATATCATTATATTATTATTAACTTAATAATATTTTTATTATTATATTTGATTAATGATTTATTATTTTATTATTAGATTATTAACATCCTATTATTTTTGTTTATTATTTTAAAATTAATTTATTATTATTTAATAAATATTATATTTCTTATTTTATGAATATTGTACTATTATTATTATTATTATTATTGTTATTATTATTAATTAATATCTTTGTTTGTTATTATAGTTTATTAATATTTTATTGTTTTTTATTAATATATTATTGTTTTTTATTTTATTATCTTATTATTAATTTGATAATATTTTATTATTTTATTAGTATTAGGAGTTGGGGTAATTTTTGTCATGAGTTCTTTACTTCTTGATAGACTTTGGAATGGGAATCTCATTCCCTAAGATGGTTATGGAATGACCATTCCCCCATATGGGGGAATCCTGCTCCCGCAAGATTGGGAATCGTAATACCTTTCCTGCCAAACAAACAGTAGGAATCAAAATGGGCCATTTTAGTTCCCATTCCAGGCACCTATTCCTGTAAACCAAATGGACCCTAAGTATTTTTTGGGCATCGTGTCTCTTTGTATCATAGTCAAACCCAAATATTATATATTATTAATAAAATGATTTTGATATCAATTTCATATATCACAAATAAAATGAATTACAGGTAATTTAGAGACTTGAAGCAATATAAATCTTTAGTAAACAACAATCAACTAACTTTAATAATAGATACAATATCAATTATAAATATATAATTAAATATCGTAGGATTCAAATCAACTAATGGTGGCTCAATTGCTTTGATTTCTAGCTTTATTCTAGCAAAGACCTAGGATCAAATCCTACTGCCACCCAGGTTGGGGGTCAAGGGAGTGGAGGATGAGCTACTTTTGTTGTGTAAAAGATATTATTGGATTCAATCATAACACCACTTGTAAACAAATCGAATTCCAATCACTCTTAACTGGGGCAGACTGGAATTTGAACAAATAGATACTATTTGCAGCTCTACTTGCCCCATTTAAGATCAACTCCAAATGACAAAAACTAACATATGGATATCATTCAGATTCCCAAGTGTCAATCATCTTTGCCCTATTTTAAAAAGAGTTTACCCAAGGAACCATCTTTGCCCCTGAAAAGCATATTTGATACTGGAAATCAGAATTATCAGAAACATTGTTGGCCAATTAATCAATAATAAAACTATTTTTTTTCCTTTTCTTCGATACAAAAGGAAGGAAGAAGAAGCTCGGGAAGATGGGGGTAGCTCTACCACACAGTTCCACATTACAGGAATATTAAAGATTCCATGTGATAACCAAAGATATAACAATATCCCCCATCTGTCCTATATGAGACAGCCATATAGCATACATGAGAAAGATCCCCAAATGGTTGTCTTTCACTATCTTTTAACAATCTTTAGCCAGCATTTCATATCTCCTTGGAGGTCTGATCCATTTAGCCTATATAGTCAGCTTGTAACAATTTCTGAGTCACCTTTGATCCATATTCTGTTATACCCACTTGAGACTGCAATCTCATGGGCTTTTAGGGCTGTTAATTTGTTATACCCACACCATCCCTTGTCTGCTACATTTGAGATATATGAGAAGCATTAAGGTGGAGGGCTCCATTTTACCCATATCCATCATGTGATGATGCTTTTCATCATAAAAATTAAAAAATAAAAAGAAAAAAAAAAACAGTTGAGGCTCGTCCTCGTTATTTTTTTTTTTCTGATATATTTTTTCACCTATGTATTTTCACATGTGCCAAAGAAGGAAATTTTAAGTATATTGAGTGCACATTATTTTCCTCGATTCTGTTCCACCATTAGAAAATGTTCTAAATTTCGCATTTGACACCTAAGAACAAGTCTTACACAAGGTTAAATTATGATACCAAAAGAACTTGTAACCAATCAACCTATATCATAAAAGCGGTAATCGTGGCGCACATTCATATAGAATGAATAGTTTTTAACATGTTTTTAGATGAGAGTTTTACCCTAATTAAGACCATAAAATAATTTTTAATCTTTTGGAGAATAATAATTTTTCCCCAATGATAAAACTGTCTCGAAAACAAGGTATAAGATAATGAAAAGATGGTCATAGCACAGTAGG